AAAAAAAAAAAAAAAAAAAAAACAAACTAAACTAAAACAAAACTAAAAAAAAGAGTAAAAAAAAGTAAAAATAAATAAATAAAATGATTAATTGATTAGGATAACAAGTTTAAATGTGTGATTAACAAAATTAATTAATTTTAATTAAAGTAAATTAAATTATTTATTGGCCTTAATTTGAGGTAATTAAATTTATTTAATTATTAGAGGAGGTTGATAAATATAGTTAATTAATTTTAATTGATATTAAATTAATCATCCAATTAAATTAAATCATAATTAGTTAATTTCAATTCTTTACTTTCCTTAATCTTAGTCAAAAGTCAAAATTATCCCTCTTTATTTCAATTTCACTCAAAACTTTTATAATTAAGCAATTTAGTCCAAGGGTCTAACTCTTTTCAAATCAATCCTCCATGTTTGTGAATTTAGTCAAATCAGTCCTTCATGTTTTGAATTTAATCAAACTAGACCCTTTAATTTTAACTTGTGTTCATTGTGCATGCATGTCTTTGATTTTGTCCATTTTAATCCAAAAGGTTAAAAATGTTGCAATTTGGTTTATCTCTTTTTCAAGTTTGTTTATTAAGACCTAAATATAAACATAATAAATAAGTTGAATTAAAACCCCAGTTTTAAAGTATGCAACTGTGTTTAAGTAGAGGATTGTAAGGTGTGCATATGCTCTTCCTCAATTCTAATCGAACTCACGAACCCCGATTTCTACGCAGATCCGTTTTAGGTGACTTATCACACTTTATAATTTGTACGAGTGGCAACTCATTTTCTTATATATTTCACACTTAACTGAATGTTTTTAATTTTAAGTGTGGTCATCAACAGATTGGTGACTCCATTAGGGACTCGAACCCAGAATATCTGGTTTTCATATTTTGAGTTCACGAGGGTCGAGCTAATACTTTAACTTTGGGGAGTTTTTTAGCTTTTGATTTTCTTTGTTGTTGAGTCTTTGTTGGTCTTTCTTGTTTGTTGCATGTACTTGTTTTGTGTCACTTATTGCATGTGTTTATGGCTTATTTGCTTGTTTTGGTGGTTGCTTCTATTGTTTTGCCATTCAATGATTACCTTGCTACACCTTGACATGCATCATACCATGCTCATATGTTCATGCCATATCATCTCATACGCTCATCCATCATTGATGGTACATGCTTATTCATCACGCATCATGTCTATATGCCTACTTACTTGTTTGTGAATGTGCTAACCTTTTGCATTTGGCATGGGAGTATGAGGTGAGTCCTTTCTTGTTGTGTAAGTAGGTTTGTTTGTGGGTGATATATTTGTTGAGTGCTTTACATGTTTTATTTGCTTGTTTGCTTTATCTACTTGTTGTGGGATATATGTTGCTATTTTTGTGGTTGCCATTGTACAAGTTATTGGAGTGTCATGCCCCTTGCACACACTCATTCTCATTTTACATTATGTCCGTGCCGGAGGTGAACTCAATCTCTAGTTTGGAATCCTTACGAATCTGGCTTGGAAGAGTAATTCTTCCCGCTTTAAGGAGTAAGATTGGTTCTTGTTAGGTTGTTTCCATTGGTTAATACAATACTTAATGATATAATATCATCTTGTGTATTAGCTTTTGGAAATATCTCCCTGTCATAACTCAAATTTTAGTAGAATTTTATTTTATTTTTTATTTTTATTTTAACTAATATGTTTTGTTTTTGTTTTACTTGTTAGGTTCTTTCAAAAAAAAAGGGGGGAAGGAAATTTTACGAAGAATATGAGAGAAAGGACTCAATTGAAGAAATAGAAAGTTGGAGGGGTGAAATGCAAAGTTAGAACCAAAACCCATCAAACTCAAACCCAATTACCCAAACCCATGATTTACCCAAACCCATGATTTACCCAAAACCAAAGCCCACCAAAACCCAAAACTCAAACCCAAAATCCAAACCCAAATCCACAACTACCCAAAAACCCAATCTCCCAAAAAAAAAATAATAATAAAATTCTTCGTTCTCCTTCTCTCCCGAACCTTCCCCATTTTTGGCAGCCTTGTGCTAGCAGCCAACAGCCTCCTTCCCAAACCAGCCGGCAGCCACAAGCCCTGCGTCCCTGCACCAGCCTTGCTCTGCACCTGCTCTTGCGCCTGGCCTTGCTAGGCCTCACCCGAGCCCTGCTTGCTACCCAGACCCATAGCCTGCACCTGGACTGCACCGCGCCCTACCCCCTATCACCGAACTAGCCATCATCACCCCCTCGCACGCCTGCAACCTGCCCTACACCGAGCCATCATCGCCCCCTCGCACGCCCAGCCTTGCTGCACCAGCCCTGCACCTACGCCCGAGCCTTGCGCCTACGCCCCTGCTCCCTGCTCTGCGCCCAGATCGCCTGCACTCTGCCCCAGCCTGCACTCTGTTGCGCCCGGCCTTGCTTCCTACACCAGCTTTGCTCTGCACCAGATCGCCTGCACTCTGCCGCGCCTCTGCACTCTGCACCCAATTCCATGCCCCTGCCTCCTGCACGCTACAGCCATTCAGAAAAAAACAACATATGCAAGACAAAATCGTGATTGACGGAGCAAATTTTTGTTGTTATTTTATTTATTTCCTTTTATTTTATTTGGGTACATATATATAGGAAAAATGATATCAAAACCGGGGGGTCTTTGGTTGATTGTGGAGTTTTGGAGTTGATTTTGGGGGGTTCTTTGGTTGATTCCGGAGAAAGGGGGGGTTGATTTTCGAGTTTGTTTTTTTTGTTTTTTTTCTCTTCTGGGTTCTGGTTCTTCTCTGGGTTCTCATTTTCTTGTCACTGAAAAAAAAAGAGACGAAAGAAAGAAGAGTCCGAGAGGGAGAAAGGCTGGTTGAAGGGAAGAAAACATTTTCTTTGGAGGTTGACAGTGGCTAAAAGGAGGCTTATTTTGTGGTGTCTTTCTGTTTAGGTATTTTCTTTCAACAGAGGAGTTTTTTTTCTTTCAACAGAGGAGGTTTTTTTGGGAGGCAGTGAGGGGAATGATCTGGGCTTGATCCCGTGGGAGGGATTCCCCAGATCGGACTCCGATCTGTTACCCAGAAAGCTTCACCATGCTTGTTTCTTTTGACTTTCTGTTCTGTGATTTGCTTTTATGATGTTTAAGTATGTATGTGTTTATTAAAAATCAATGAAAAAAAAAGATGTCCGGTTTATTTTCTTGATGAATATTGTTTATCTTTTCGTTGAAAATGAGTTCATTTTTGTTACTGTCCATCATTCTACTTCTGTCTTGTTTGATCTGTTTTTGCATATTTTGGTTAATGGTTTTGTGTTTCTGGGCAGGTTGGCCCGATCCAAACTTAAAAAAAAAACTAAAACTAAAAAAAAATGTGTAAATAAAATGATTAATTGATTGTAGTAATTAGTTTAATGTGTGATTAGTGAAATTTAATTAATTTTAATTAAAGTAAATTAATTATATTTATTAGTTTTAATATGAGATAATTAGATTCATTTAATTGTCTTGATTAAAAATTAATGGATGTAATTAATTAATTTAAATTAATTTAAATTAATATTAAATTAATCATTTAATTAAATTGATTATTATGATTAATT